GCCTGGCAGCCTTCCTTGTCCTCTTTTCTCTTTCCTCCCCACATAAGCTCGCCCGTTGTGATCCGATCCGAAGATAGGAGAGTTTTTGTGGCGAGAACGCACGATAAGACAGCATGAGTGCTCTCCCGTGCTGTCTAGGGCACCAGCAGGGGCTCAAAGGCGGAAACAATTCATCGCACACCGACCTCACTCAAGCAGCCTGCCTTCCTTCCTTCCTCAGCTTAATTGTGTTCACTCCTCGCACCTTCCCTTCGCGCCGTCTGACTCCCTCAGCACTCCACTTGGTCAGCGCCTCGTGCAGCTACAATGGCCCCTCGCACTTCGGTGGTCGCCCTCATGGCCTCGCCATCGCATCAGCAGCAAATCCCGCCATGAGAGGTACACACACACACACACACACACACCCACGATGGCATATTTGTCCTCTGGCTGCAGGTGTGCAAGAGAGAGAGGCCCACAGGCAGCTGCAGGGCGGTGTGGCGGGGTGCGTATACATCTGCGAGACAGACTGCGACTCTGACTGCTTGGGCCAAGGGGACGAGCCGCATCGTGAGCTCCAGGGTAAGTAAGACCACCCATCCATTCGTCCGTCCGTCTATTGATCGATCCATCCATCTATCATCCGGCCATGATGAAGGAATGGCATATATACGTGGATGCATGGGTGCTGTCTTTCCTTCCTTCCTTTGACTGACATGCCTGCCTGCAGCCTGCGACACATGCTTCTGCGCCAGCGACCCCGGCCTCATCGTGTGCGGTCAGAATCCGTGCCCTGGTATGTCTGTAAGGGGGAGCCAGCGCTTTGGTTGGATGCTTGTGCGCCTGCATGCGTGCACAGCACGCATGACGGCCTGTCGATTCGATCTGTCCTGTCCTGGTTGTGTGTCTGTCTGTCTGTCTGTCTGTGTGCAGGACGTGTCGACGGCGAGTGCCCCGGGGGAATGAAATGCTATGACGAGACGAGCTGTGGCGTCCGCCGCCTCGACGAGACCAAGTCGGTGCCGCATCGTGAGCTCCAGGGTAAGTAAGACCACCCATCCATTCGTCCGTCCGTCTATTGATCGATCCATCCATCTATCATCCGGCCATGATGAAGGAATGGCATATATACGTGCGTGCATGGGTCCATCTATCCGTACAATCCATTCGCTTATGTCCCTCTGTTGTGGGGATACTTTTCTTCAGAAATATGAGGTGGTGCATTGGTGGCGGCAGCTGTGGACATCGCTGCTGTGGCAGCTGCTGATCCGAGCTCACAGTTATGTGATGGTACACATTCTTCCATGGGGACGGCAGTAGAGAGGGAGGCGTCAGACGGACAGACAGACAGTTTGGTGCAAGTGAGGGATGACAGGCGCATGTATGTGTGTATGCCGTGGTTTGGTTGGCGAGACGGGCCAGCACTTTTTGCATTGCCCTTTGGCGCGCTGCGGCGCTTTTTGCTCTTTTGTCCTGCTTTTTGCTCTCTGCTGTGTGTGTGTGTGTGTGTGTGTGTGGATGTAGTGCATGCAAGGGTACTGCCAGGTATGTGAAAAAGGTGGGTGGACCGCACGTCATGTGTGCGTCAGAAGGGAAATTCTGTACGTCTGCATTTACTCAACCCAATGAGTCAAGACGCATTGCCCTAAATGTCTGCCTGTTCGTCTGTCTGCCTTTGCATCATGTGCCGACCGACCACTGCTGCCATGCTGTAAGTGCAAACGTCATTAGTGTCCATTCTCTCTACACAGGAAGGGCACCCTCGCTTGTTTTCCTCCTACCCCAACTCACTCCAAGATCTGCGGCAAGGAACTCATCGCTGAGGCCTGTTTGCGGCCTGCGCACTTCATTTGCGGTCCGGGCATCGTTTACGACCATCCGTCGGCCTGATAATCCACGGGGAAGACTCAGAGGCCTTCTCCGACACCAATTGTTCGGCACATCGCTGCTCTCGTAGGATACGTCGTGGGATGGCGACTTCTTGAGATGAAAAGCCCTTGCAGCGTTCGTCGTCTGGCCCTGCTGCTGCTGGCTTCCCTTTGCCATTTTCCTCCCGCGGCCCTTGCGCTTGCAGATTCTGGTGCAGACCTCAACCTTCAAGCGGCTTCCAGCTGTTCGGTGCAGCAGGGCCCGATCAACATCCAGCCGCCCTTTGTGCCGGAGGATGGCCAGCTGGTGCTCGACTACGCCCCAACCACCCTATTTGCTGTGCAAAATGACGGCAGCGGGCTGCGGCTGACCGCGCCCTCTTTCGGGGGCCTGATCTACAAGGGCGAGCAATTTGCAGCGCTGTTCGTCGATATCCATTCGCCGTCGCAGCACACGCTGGGAGAGAGCGCTCAGCGGTTCCCTCTGGAGGTGGTCATTGCCCACAGGGGCACTTCTGGCCGCACACTGGGGGTGTCGCTGCTGTTCAAGGCCGGGGAGACTGACAGCCATCTGATGCGGATGGTCCTCGACCACACCCCGGCTGTCTACGGCACGGTGCTCCCTGACGGCCAGGCGCCCTCTGTGGCTCTCGACATGGCCACTTACCTCGGCAACTCGTCCAACTACTTCGCCTACGCGACGCCCGGGAACACACAGTGCCTCAGCAATGCAGCGGACACTGTGCGGCTGGACCAGCGGATTGTGCTGACCAAGATGAAGAGGATGTCGCATGACCAGCTGAACCAGCTGCGGCGAATGGTCCCATCCATTGCGACGGCAGGGCAGCCCACTCAGCAGCGGCTGCCCGCCACAGTGATATACTCGTCTGTCGCACGGGAGAAGGTGCCTCGAGTGAGCAATACCCACCCACTACCCCTGTTGGCGCAGCGGCGCAATGTCTATGCTCCCCACTCGCCCAGTGACTACCAGCGATATGTGGCCGGCCTCCAGCAGCAGTATGCCGAGTACGAGAGGGCCCCGCAGCAGAACGAGGCGGCCATGGTGCCGGCATGGAACCAACAGCCACAAGAACACCCACAACAACAGCCACAACAGCCACCGGCAGCCCGTCTGAAGTCAACGGCCACATCAGGTGTGCAGCAGCTGCGCCGGGGGGCGGGGGAGGGGGGCGATATGGCGCTGAGGATGCTGCAAGACTTGGAAAAGGTCAATGAGAGGAAGCCATGGAAGTCGTCTGTCATGTCTGTGTGTGGTGTTGTGGCTGGCACTGGCTGGCTATCCTTATGTATGCAGCGCGAGGGCTGGTTGGAGGTGCGCGAGGCGGCCCTGGACAGCCGAGAAGCAGACCTACTCAATCTGCAGCAGCAACTAGCACGCGTCGGTGCCTTCCCCCATCCCCCCAGACACACACACACACACACAGAGAGAGAGAGAGAGAGAGAGAGGGAGAGGAAACAAGCAAACAGCAGTTCTCATTTATTGATCCATCTTGAGTTGACTTCAGGAGGAGCAGACCATCTCTGACATCCTGGCTGACTCCACCAACCATAATCTGACACATCTACTAACCCCACCCAGACAATCGCCCCCTCACCCGGTGAGACGCGGTATTCAGAACAGAATGGCGCAGCCACAGGCGGCCCTGGTAGGCAGTGCGACGAGCAGCAGTCTGCGGGAGGCTGCTCAAGACCTGGGGTATCGTATTAAGGGGGACAACAGGGGCGGGGAGGGAGGAGGGAGTATACAAGACGACGGCAGAGATCAGGAAGTACCCTTGCAAGGAGACCGAAGCATTCCAGTCAGTGTGTTCAGATGTTCCCTGTTTGTTTCTGCAGCAGTCGTCTGTGCCCGACGCCCGTGAGTTTGTGATGTCCTCCTCCTCACGCCAACGACAGCGACAGCGACAGCAACAAGAGCAAGACGAAGATCTGGAGGTGGGAAGGGCAAGAGGAGACACGCATGGCATGTGACATCCCACTGTGTTGTTTGTTGTCAGGTCCCCCTGGTGCAGCAGGGGACGGCCGTCGACCAGACAGCCTTCGTCCAGCCCAATCCGCAGCCCCGCCTGGTGCCGCTGCAGTACTCGCCACCTCCCACACACAGGACTTACAGAATAGTCACGGTCAGACAGACATACGCACACACCCTTTCACATTTACACCCTGCTCGAGAGAGACGGATGCATGTGTGTGTGTGTGTGTGTGTAGAACACATTGGGCCCATTGCCGGGAGAGCAGGGGACAGACGGAGCCACTGACGAGGGCACGGACGCTCCCGCTGCATACGACAACCAGCAGGCACAGGCAACTGTCGAGGTACACACATCTGTGTGGATGGCGTGTGTGAGCGCGTGTATGTGTGTGCTGCCCTCCGATTGCAGGTTGATGAGGATGGTAGCAGTGAGAGTGGCATGACGGCTTTGCTGCAGACGGCGGCCGAGAAGGGGACACACACAGTGCAGCTGCCAAGATAGAGGTGGGTGGATGGTGGTCTCAGATCGAATCGACAAGTAGGCCGAGACTGCGGACTCTTATCGCATCGACATGTCGTGTGTTTGAATGAGTCAACGAATGGTGGTTGTGTGGCTGCCTCGCATGATGGGAATGACACACACACGCACACGCGTGGATGGTTTAGACAAGGTAGGTAGACGATGCGTTCAAACACATACACCACATAGATAGATGTGGTGGATGAGTCCACACACATACACAAACGCATTTAACGCACACGCAACACGTACAGCCTCATACAGAGAGCGTGGCACGCAATTGTCAGTCGGGTGCACGGAAGGAATATCACTCACGGAGCTCAAAAACGGTCAGAGCGGCCCCTCACACACACACACACACACACAGAGAGAGAGAGAGAGAGAGTCTCGCCAGCACTTGGCTGCTCAGACGACAGGACATCGGCTGACCACTCACACTCACACACGAAGGTATGAAGACACTCGACAGTCAGTGAGATATAGCAAGATTGTCGGGATGGCTGGCTGGCTGGACGGACGGACGGCATACAGCTGCGGCTCGTAGGCTGCTCACACAGGCGACCAATCGTGTCTGCGTGCGCTGCCCACAATCCAGTGCCGAATGCCACCACATCGCGCAGCCGCCAGGACAACGCACACATCGCGCAGCCGCCAGGACAACGCACAAACACGACGATAGCAACGTCATCTATCTACGGCTCTCTGTTTGCTGTCAGTCAGACCAGGGGAGCTGAGGCCGAGCTCATCCCATCTGAAACCACCCAGCCAGCCAATCGCCCACCCCCTCTCTCTCCCACACCCTACGAACCAACGGGCCAGCGAACGCAGAGGGCCACAGACATAGCGAGGGAGGCAGGGAGGGAGACAGCCAGCCGTGAAGGCGGAGGGGTCGCTCGCTCGCTCGCACTGAAAAAACCCGAGGGAGCCGATACGAGCGTATCGAGACGACCAGACAAACAAACCTCCACCGATCCCCCGGCTGGCCGGCCAGCGGATACGGACGTACACATGTCCGATAGAAACAAACGGCACGCACCCCACACGACAGACACCACACGTGTCAGTCAGCCCTTGTCTGTCTGTCTGTCTGTCTGTGAGTGCATCATCCATCAGTTCTCCTGTCTGTCTGCGGCTAAAGCTATGGCTCTCCCTCCTTGGTATTGCCAGGCGCGTCACCGTCGCTCTGCCTGCCACCCCCACCACCACTCCCCCCACTGCCGCCATATCTGCTGCTGCCCGGCTCGCTGACCTGCCGCCGGGGGTCTCTTGGCGGCGTCTCCACATCGATGAGCCGCGCCCTGTCGTCCTCCCGGCTCGAGCCATTGCTCTCCTGCAGGTGTCCGTCGCCGTTCATGTCTGGGGGAGTGGTCTGCGGCAGCGATGTGCCGGCCTCCGTGGCGGCCCTCTCTCGCCGCGCCGTCAGCTGGGCGGGAGTGGAATAGGTGGTGGGCAGCTTGGGCGGCACAATGATCCGGGGGGCCTGCTCGGAGCTCGCCGTCATCACCTATGTGATGGGATCACACACAGACAGACACACACATGGTGAATTGGATTGTGCAGTGCATTCATCGCTGGTGTCCTGTCGTGTGGTGTGGTGTGGTGGGCCACATTGGCTTACCAGAGGCCCGTGTGCGGGGGAGTCTGCTGTGACTTCGATCTGTGTGTCGCGGCCTCGTCGGTTGGGAGTGGGGTAGGGCAGGGGTGTGTGGATGTTGGGCAGGTCCGCTGGGTGAGCCAGCTCCATGTGCGTCAAAAACGTCTGGCGGTCACAGCACAGCAGGTCAGGTGGGTCAACGTTGGGGTACGGTGCACATGTGTCTTGGCTGTCTGTCTGTGTCAGTCAGCTCTCCGCTCCCACCTTCTTCGTCAGAATGCCTTCGAGCTTGCCGTGCCGCGTCAGCAGACAGAACCTACACACACACACACACACACACGTGTGAGTCAGTGGATGATGTGTCCCCACCACCTACATCGCATTCACCTGAGTCCGAGTTGCCTGAACATGTTGTATATCTGTCCGAGTGGCGTCTCAGGCACCAGCTGGATGATGTGCTCGTCCACTATGTCGCTCAGGTCCACAAACGGCTCCCCGCCATAGCTCACCAGGTCCTCAGCCGTGGGCAACTGGCGGGGCGACGGCGTCATGACCACACTCGCCGCCCGACCCGCAAAACTCACCGACAAAGGGGTCGCGCCCGCCGCGGCTGACACACACATCAATGAATGAAGATGGCCATTGGTTGGTGGTTTGGCTGCTCGCTGACAGACTCACCTCTCGCCCTCGCCCTAGCGGCTGACATCATCCCGAGTACCCGTGAGTACTTGAGGAATCTGCACATGGTGGTGCCGCGGACCTCGGGGTTCTCGAGTGCCTTGTCGAGTGCGTTGGCGAGGTCCTTGGAGGCGATGTAGCCCAGGAGGATCATGTCCTTGCGCGTGCTGACCAGAGGATATCCGCTGAAGCTGTACCTGCGCACACAGACACACACAAGCATGGGACGTGGGTATCCGTGTCTGCTGAGACTGTAGTGGGGGGGTGGGGCGGCTGACCTTGTCAGTTTTTGCTGGAGGGATGCGATGGTGTTGCCCTCGAGAGTGATGACCACCAGCCGGTCCTCCATTATGTCACACGCGCGAGCCGTGAAGGTCACCTGCACACAAACACCATGCCATGCGCACAGACGGATGGGAGCTGTGTGTGTGTGTGTGTGTGGTTTGGCTGTTACGTCAGCTGACGACTCCAGGTAGGGGTATCCCTTGAGCCGGATGTAGCAGTCGTATACGCCCGGGAAAAAGGCGTCGCCGACCCATTTGGATATCATGACCGATATCATGAACGGCACAATGTAACTCAGACCGCCCGTCAACTCAAACATTATCACAACCTGCACACACACCAAGACAAGGCAAGACACACACACATGTGCGGTGCTGCCTCTCTGATGGGATGGATGGATGGATGGTTTGTGTGGGTGCGATGGATGCGCGTGTACCTACCAGTGAGATGGTCATGCGGGTGACGCCGCCGAGCATGGCTGCCGCCCCCACCATGGCGTAGATGCCCGGCTGGATGCACTTGTGGCACTCCTGGATCAGCGGGATCGCGTTGTTCAAACGAATCATCAGCAGACCCACCAAACGACCGAAACACGCACCGATCTGCTCCACAAGACACACACACACAAGTGGGTAGGTATCCCATCACACGGATGCGCGTGTGGGTCCCCCCCGTCCCGCAGGCAGGCTGTCTGTACGGTGAGAGAAGGGATGAAGAGCCCCGCCGGCACTGGGCTGCCGAAGGTGAAGACGGCCTGGACGAACCTCAGCACCATGACGGCGAAGAGCGAGAGAAAGATGCCCCAGTCCACGTCATATTCGGTGAAGCTGTCAGTGCTCTTGGAACACATTGAGAACATGTCTGGGTTGTCCGTCGACCCACACCGCCCGAACAGCTGCTCCAGCAGCACACTGGCGGGGCCGCGCATCATGGGAAGGAGGTAGTTGATGACGGCCGTGCAAAGAGTGAGGATCATCATCTCTAGGACAGGGCTGGCCTGGATGGTGGGGTTGTTGCGCTTGCTGGCCGACCAGCGGATGTTGAGGTGGATGAACAGCGCGCCCAGCAGCCCGCCCATCAGACCCAGCAGGGCGAATGGGATCAGCTCGATGATCTGATAAGTCCTGCAGACAGACACACGGAGAGAGAGATACCACAGACACGCAAACATACACACGGTCCCTCTCTCTCTCTCTCTCCCCTTGCTGTTTTCTGACTGACCCGAGCAGCGAAATGTAGTCGATTTGGAACATTGTGAGGGCCCCGGTGCTCCTTGGGTCGATCCACTTGAGGGTCAGGGCGGCCACCACCGCACAAAAAAAACTCTTCCACAGCGTCTTGGGCGGGAAGTAGGTCGACACCTCCTCGAGCGAGAACAACACGCCGCCGAGGGGCGCCCCGAAGGCCACCGACACACCTGCCGCGGCTGCAGCTGAGATGAGCTCGCGCTTCTTCATCTCGTTGTCGTGATACTGCATGGCAGACACAACACAACACAACACACTCAAACAGAAACTGCATACCATATGGACTGCTGGGTGCGGTGATCGGGTACGGTACCTTGAGCGAGAGTCTGGAGAGAAGGTTCGCCCAGCAGCAGGCCACGTGGACGAGCGGGCCCTCCTTGCCGAGCGCCAGGCCGCTGGCCACGGCGAGCCCCAGCCCCACACACTTGATGGCCAGCGTCCAGGCCCCCAGAGTGCCCTTCATCACGAAGCCGCCCAGGATGGTCTTGACCTCGGGGATCCCCGAGCCCGACGCGGCCTTGGCGTATGAGCGGACGAGCCAGGCGGCAATGCAGGCCATGACGATGGCGATGATGACGTACACGAGGTAGTCGGCCAAGTAGGCGGCCAGGTAGTTGTGTTCGTTGATGCCCAGGACTGTGGCCCAGGAGAGCCAGGAGGTGTGGTCGAACTCGTTGGGGTGGTCGTGGTGGTCGATGACATCCTCGCTCTCCTTCAGACAACGGTTGTGCGCGAAATCTACCGCAAAATCACTGCCGCAACAATACCTAACACACACGAGCCACACAGACCAGACACACACGAGAATCATGACATGGCCGCCTGCCTCTCGATAGATAATATATCTTGTGTGGCGCCCGGGCGGGGGCTACCTACCTGCGATCCATCCAGAACATGCCTCGGCAGATGCCGATCCTGAGGTCAGCAAAGTACGCCCCGGCCACCTCGATGTAGGCGGCGCTCACGGCAGCCATGAAACCAATGGCCGCGCAGAAGATCCAGCCCTCAGCCTTGACCAGGTACACTCGGCAGGTGGCACAGAAGCCCTGGAAGTGCTCCAGCTCCTGCTGACGCCGCGCATAGGCCACTCTGTCGTGTCGCCAGTCGACGGTGGCGAAGTCCTGTGAGCTGGTGCGGGTGGGAACGTGCGCCTCCTCCTCGTGGTGATAAAACATCTCGCGGATGCGGGGCGAAGTGGTCGGCGATACGCGGTCGGCCCGCAGCACCGAGTTCACGAAGTGCTGCCGCCACTGGCCGACGGCCGCCTGTGTGGTGGACCGAGGCAGCATCTCGGCCGTCTCCTCTTCGTCCATCGGCGGCTGCGGCTCATCTGGCTCCAAACCCGGGCGACCGATCTGCCCTTCGGGACCGATATCAGTGGCAGAGAGGGGGAGGGGGGAGCGAGCAGTGGGGTCGCCGTGCTCGCCAGGGGGGGAAGTGTCCGTCATCATGGCGGGAGCGCCCAGCGATTGGGGGGCTGGAGTGTGACGACCCTGCTGTTTGTCTTGCTCGTCGGTGTCTGAGTCGCTGAGGGTGATCAGACTGTCGTAGTCTTTGCGATTGGCGGGCCGGGGGGCGTGGCGAGTTGTCGAGCGTGTGGAGCGTTGGGTCTGGCGAGAGTGTGTAGGTAATACGTCGGACTGGTTGTCGTTGTCCTGGCTTGTCCGCAGCAGGGGACGGTCACTGTCCATAAGCTGAGGTGAGAGGCCTCGCCCGCGGGCATGCTGCCTCCACGTCTTCATCCAAGCAATAACACACACGAGTCACGCCGGCCAGTGACACCCCTGCAATAGTGGCCAATCAGAGCCGTCCACAAACACGCAAACACACAAACACGCCACACAGAGATGAGAGTGTCTGATTCACACCCGCACTCAGCGAGGCGGCCTTCTCTCTCTACGCTGTTGCGTGTTATCTTACGCATGTCGACAGATGGCTCGCGTGACAAGGTAGGACAGGAAACCTCCACCTCGTTCTCTCTCCCCTCAGAGCAACTCAGAAAACGCACCTTTCCGATGCGCCTGAGCGATTTCTTGAGCCGCTCGCGACCGTGTGAGTGAAGGAAAGGCCAATCACGCGCAAGAGCTCCTTCCCCTTTTGTGTGCTAAGCTCGCAGATGCTCTGCGACAGCTCGCAGGAAACAAAGGTGAGGAAAGGAAAGGACCGCGCGAAGGCACGATCGGTGCATTATTCCTATCTCTTTGTTCTTTCAGATCTCGTACACGCGGCGAGTGCACACGGAACTGACATGGGAGCCGCTGCGGCGGGCAATTGGAGCGGGCGCTTTTCCCTCATCTGCCTCGGCGCCCTGTCAGCCGTCATCGCCAGTCTGTTCAGCACCCATGTGCTGCCAAGATGGAGGAGTATCGTCGGCCAATCGACCTCCCTTGCAACGCCATTCGATGCACTGCGTACGGCAATGGGAGCCAACGACGGCCACATCAGTGCCGCCCTCACTTTATTGGATGGCTCTGAGGGGCAGCGCGGCCATCGAGGGATTGTGGCCAGTCGGGCAATAGCGGCCAACGAGGTGCTGTTGACCATCCCACGCAAGGTGATGCTGACGGGCTCGGCAGTGGAGGGCATCCACCCGCTGGTGGCGGAGGTGCAGAAGATCCCCGGCCTGCATCTGAAGCACAACGCGCCCCTGCAGGCCTTCATGGCTCTCGCCCTCGATCACATCGACACACACGGCACAGCCGCCCCTCTGTCCGTCATCTCGGGCACTAAGGAGGTACATTCTCTGTGGGAGGCGTGGCTGAAGCTGATCGCCTCGCTGCCCACCCCTCCGCTACCCGCCATAGCTGCCGGCAACCACACCGACGCGGCGCCGCCCCTCTATGCCTCCCCATCCCTCCTGGCCACCCTTGCGGCCAAGCATCGGAGTTTCTACGCCCAGGACCACAGGAAGATTTTGGCCAACGTGGATAGGCGGATTCTCGGGCCGAGGTTTGGCCTGGAGTCGTTCATGCGGGCGACGGCACTGCTGCAGTCGCGGAGCATGGCTGTGGCAAATGGGTTGGGTGATGTGGTCCCGTGTGGCGCTGACCTGCTGAACCATGCGCCATCGAGATTCGCAAATGCCCGCTGGCAGTTTGATGCCGTCGTCGACTCGCTGCAGGTAGACAGACAGAGAATGACCGCATGGATGATATGGGGCTGGCTGATGCTGGGCGTCCGTCAATGTGTGCCATCGATGTGTGGTGTGTGTACACACGGTCAGGTGAATGCGAGCCGTGCGATTGCTGCGGGTGAGGAGATCGTCATCTCGTACGGCGACCGGTCAAACCCTCAGCTGTTCCTCAGCTTCGGATTCACCCTGCCGCCCACACTTGAGCCTTTTCAGACGTTCAAAGCCGGGACCGCTGCAGCACTGCACAAGTGAGGGAGACAACAAATGCACACACACAGGGGAACCGCACACAGAGTGCAGCTCACGCATGTGTGTGTGTGTGTGTGTATGTGTGTGTGTGCAGATGGGAGGAGGGTGCGGCGATCGATCCGTCCTGCAAGGTTGGCGTGGTGGAGCTGTCCACTGGCGGGCCCAGAGACGAATTCACAAAGCTCAACGCACACCTCAACGCACACAAGAAGGTGACTGACAAGACAACAGACAGCGCTCGCCCGACGACCGATTGATTCATTTTCTGTCTCTTCCTTCTCTTCCTTCTCTTCCTTCTGTTGTCTGTCAGGGCTCAGCGTGGCTCGTGTGGGAGGCGCTGCTGACCCGCTTCCAGCGCGAGTACGAGAAAGACCCCCTCCTGAGGCCAGCCATGGAGCAGCTGAGGGCCAACCGGCAGGCACACAAGGATTCGCCCATTTGGTGGTCGGCTGCCAAGAGGTCTGGTGATGGCAAGACCTTCGACTGGGACAGGGGCGTCGATGTGTCGGTGGTCGATGCGCCGTCAGTGGAGCACACGCATGCTGTGGTGAGAATGAGATGATCGAGGGATGGCAGAAAGGTGGGCTGGCTGGCTGTTGGACCTATATGCTTGCTTACTCGTGTGCGCAGCGTGTGAAGATGTCTGAGTATCTGTGCGTGACGGCACACTTGGAGGCCATCCAGATGCACAAAGGTAGGTTGGGCGGCCTGCTGATGGACAGACGAGTGGGTGTGGTGATCCCCAGCTGTGTGAGTCATGCATGGTGTGTGTCATGTGTCAGGTGTGTTGGTTGACGGCGATGTGTGGGAGATGAGCAGGAGGCTCAAGGAGTGGCTGTCACGAGCGCTCGACGCTCAGTTCAAGCCCTAGCCTCTCTCTCTCTCTCTCTCTCTCTGTCTCTCTGTCTGTCTGTACGTCTGTGTCCATCACCAATTAAGTCGTTCATCCAGACAGTCTGGAAATGTGCGTGTGTATGTGTGTATAGATCGTCGTCTGTGTCGGTTGATGTCTTGTACAGCCAGACGTAGCTATGAACGCTGAATGCAATGCCATGCAAGCAATGCTCTCCTTCATTGATTCAGGAGATGAAAAAGAGCGCGGTCCACCCCATGCACCGCCCATCCATCCATCCATCCATCCATCTGCTCAGCCGCTCAGTTCGGTGACCCATGCTTGATCCACACATAACATACATGCAGGTCATTCCTCCTGCAGGCAGACAGACAGACAGCTGATGTGCTGTGCTGTGTTGTGTTGTGTGCGTTGGGCGTGTGTGCAGACGTGGGGGCACCGTCTCGCGCTTGCAGCGCTTTGTCAGGGCGCTGTCGTCTACGGCGCCGCACGAGTAGCCCTGCCCCTCGGCACAGGCAAAGAACGTCTTGGCACTGACCCAATGTTCGTGCTTCGGGGGCGTGAGTGAGGCGAGGAATCTGCAAACAAATAAACAGACAGACATACAGACAGACAGACAGACACTTACGCGAGGAAGAAACTAGCAAGGTGAGCTCTGGTCTGTCTGTTTGTCTGTCTGTCTGTCTGTCTGGGTTGGTAGGGCTGACCTCTTCCAGTCGGCGACTTCTCTCGCTTTGTCATTGTTGGTTGCGAGTTTGCCCTTGAGCTCTCCCGCCACATCAGACTGGAAGACGTACACCACGTACCGATGCTGTCAGAACCCATGGACAGGAGAAAAGAGAGTGAATGGGGATGTCTTCTGCCTGTCTGTCTGTCTGTCTGTATTACGGTGCCGCTGGGTGGACTGGGTCCCTTGTATGGGATGACCTGACAGCCGAAGGCGTGCTGGTCACCAAGAGACACCGCCTTGCTGCCCTCGGGGCAACCTGCAAACCAACCCAACACAACCAACCAACCAACCAACCATGAGACCTTCTGGAAGGAGACACGTACGCTTCGCTCACTCTGGCGCTCCTTTTCGCTCATGTCTGTGACGAGCCAATGAACCCACCCCTGGTTGCCCGCCGGTGCCTCACAGCCGTGGGGCTGCAGCCAGGAATCACACAGAGACACACACGCGGTCTTACGGTCTTAATCAGTCGGGTGTTTTGTCTGTGTGTGGTGCTGGCCGCAGGTCCACTGACCGCGTCAAGGTCCAGCACGAGCATTGCGTCGCCCTCGAGTGATTTGTCACCCGTCGTACGAGACTCCTGCACCCCTGCCTTGGCAGCGGCCGCTTCGCTCAGAAGCTCTGCGGGCGCTGAAAATGCATGGATACGTACATTTGGCAATGCATGATCTGCAGATGGGAGGTGCGCAGGACCTGTGAGGTTCGTTGCACTGTCGGTGACTGTGGAGTGGAGGTGGATGTCCTTGGCAACTCCAGCCATTGCAGATGACACAAAAACAAAGCCCAACACGGCAGCGACGCCACACATGATGCACACAGACCAGCCTAAGGCACGACCGAAGGCTTGTGTTTCCACGACCGACGAAGGACTCGCGATCGCCCCCCAAAGCCCCCACTCAGTCTCTCCCCTCTTCCCCTTTTTTCCTCCTTCCCCTCCTTCCCTTCGCTCAACTCGCCCGCCATCTCGGGTGCAGTTGCTTCTGCGCGTGGATGGACACATGTATGAATGAATCAGAGCATTCAGGAGTACATGTATGCGTCAAGCACTTAGAAAGTCCGTGAAGCCTTTCAACAAGAAGACAAGTCATGCAACGAAGTCCCCGTCTTCTTCCTTCCCCCACGTCTCTTGCCTTTCCCTCGCCCCTTCTTGCCACCTTTCCTCGCCCCACCGCGACCAGCCGCAAGCCCTTTCCCACCCCTCCCTCCCCTCACACCACCACCCCTCCCCCTCCCACGCACAGCTGCTCGCCTCTCCGGCTTCGCGGCCTCAGAGTCATCGCTGCTGGGACCCTTCGCATCCTCCATGAGCTCGTCATCGCCATCAGCTGCCGTCCCTCTGTTGGTGCTGGACGATGTGCGGCGGATGGGGCGGAAGTCGGGCTTGTCGCTGTCAGCACGGTGGCGGCCGCCACTGGGGTCGCCGCTCGTCTTGAGCAGGGGGTTGGACGCAGCAGGGGCCGACAGGTCGGTCAGCTCAAGGGGGGGCTGGCCGCGGTTCCGCTCCAACTCCTGCTGGATGAACTGCTGGGCGCGCTGCATACACGCCCCACCACACACAGACCACACACACACGACTGGTTGATGGATTCCATTGCAAAGCGCCTCTCTCCCTCTCCCCGCCCTCCCGTGTGTGTCGTGTCGCCCTCCCTGCCCACCTCCTGGCGCTCGGTCTCGGGCAGTGAGTAGAGGAAGGTCTTCTGGAAATGCGAGCGGCACTGCTTGTGCGTACGAGTACCGACTTCAGCTGCACACAACACACACCCACACACAACCAGACGAGCATACCACACCACACAGTGACTGACCCACGACTTCCTCCGGTCAGGTCAGATGCATACCTGCCACCTGAACCCAAGAATGTCCATATTTGGCGAATCCGACAAAGAAGTTCCACTTCTCGGCCACCGACCACGCCCCCGTGGAGGGCGGACCGCCACTGCGCAACCTATCAGAAGCCTTGCGCCTGTGAGTGTGAGAGGGTCGCGGGATGGGCATCTCCGGCCGATACTCCTCCTCGTCCATGGCGTCATGCAAGGCTTCCTGCTCAGGCATGGCCATTTCCCCCCCGCTATACATCGTCGCCGAATGAGCCAGCACCAGCGCCTCGTCCGGGTGCTTCATCACGGCACCAGCCGCCGCCGCCGCCGCCGCCGCCGCATCCATAGGGGGATGCTCGACGGGGGGATAAGCACCCTGCTCAGCCATCACGTACGCTCCAACTCCTGCTGGATAAACTGCTGGGCGCGCTGCACAGACGCCACCACACACAGACCACACACACGACTGGTTGAGGGATTCCATTGCAAAGCGCCTCTCTCCCTCTCCCCGCCCTCCCGTGTGTGTCGCGTCGCCCTCCCTGCCCACCTCCTGGCGCTCGGTTTCGGGCAGTGAGTAGAGGAAGGTCTTCTGGAAATGCGACCGGCACTGCTTGTGCGTACGAGTACCAACTTCAGCTGCACACAACACACACACACACACAACGACCACACAGTGAAGCGTGCACTCCCGGTGCAAGTGGGTGAGACACGACTTCCTTCGGTCAGACTCAAACGTTGACAGCTCAGGCAGCCCTGCCTCTCTAATCTGAACGCCTCTCTGTCTTCCTGGACCATTGGACCGTCTCTCAACTCCCCCCGATCCCTTGTCGACCGTATCGCCGATCCCTTGACGATCGTACCTTCCAATGTCCGTATTTGGCGAATCCGACAAAGAAGTTCCCCTTCTCGGCGGCAATAGAGTCCAAGAAGTTGCCCTCGATAGCCGGCGGCAACTTGAAGAACAAGGAAGCGGAACACCCCAACGCCGATACGATACCCGTCAATTGACCACAACCGAGCTGGTGCCGACCGCTAACGCAGCTCCACCAGACGCAGTGGCGCACCTTTCCTGCGTTCCTCGTCCACCCGCCACCCCCCAAACCCTTGACCCTAAACCCTGCTGTTTCGTCCTGTTTTCGTCAGAGGCAGTAGCAGAGACGGCTGGGAAGGGCTGTGAAGGCCAACCACTGGCTTGCCAAGTCGTCGTTCATCCATCCCTTCATCTGCAAGGGGGAGTTAACTCAACGCGAAGAGCGCTTTGTCGGAGGATGCAGACCGAATGGGACAGCCTGCACAGCACCAGATCTATCATCGGGGACTCAGGCGCTCCTTCAGCCTTTTGTTCCTGTACCTGCACATCGGCCTTTCCCACGGCTACTTCAGCTTCAGCCCGTGCCGCCGACGCTCATCGTTCCCCTCAGCCTTGTGCAGAAGGCATCTACGACTCGTATGTCAATCGGGAAACACGGCTTCGCAACCGCCTTTGGCCAGCTATGACATCAGAACACAACATAGAGCGGCGCGGCGGCAGCCACCCGGGAGTAAGATGGGTCAGCGCAGTCAGCAGAGAGGGGCTGACACGGCTAAGGAGGGTGATGGGGCGTGGGGAGGTGTGCTGGAGATCGGCTCTCGAGGCATCCGACTCATGACAATACGTGACCCTCACGCTGTCCTGGACGAAGTGAGGGGCATATGGAGGTGAGCCGAAGTGAACGATGCAAGCGCCCAGCGCATGTGTGTTGTTTGTTGTTGTGCGTCCAGGTCGTCCAGGTCAGGCGAGAATATGACGTATGGTGGTCGTGAATCGATGAAGGAGACGGTCCTCCTGAATACCCTCTCCATATTCCGTGAGGGGCCTGACGCTGCTTATGTCAACAGCAAGAGATGGCGCTTGCAGCGGAACACCCTTGTCAACAAGATCCAAAAGATGCTCCGGACACATCGCGAGCTGTGGGGTCTGCGGCCAGAGGTGAGAAACCAAGAAGACAGACTGACACAAACAAACGTGACATACCATCGCCAGACACACATCGCCATTTTGGCTTTCTGTTTTTCCCTCTAATCTAAGCGAGTGCTGGCCTTTGCCACAGGTGACCTGCGGTGCACCGTGGATCTGTTCAAAGACTTTGCCGACGTTGCACGAGGCAGGCTCGGCCTGACGGTCTTCCGCCTGGCACCGACGCTCGAGGCAAGACTTTCGGCGTGTGGCTTCCTCACCGCCGCCCTCAACGACTCGCAGCACTCCGACGTCGATCACATGGTCACTGTAGACATGGGTGGATCGACTCTGGACTATTGTCTGCTAACGAGGCGACAGGACGAGGGAGAGATCGCGAAAGACAAGACCTGGGAGAGCACCCTTGACGGCTCCAGCATGCTGCTGAAAAGGAAGATGACGCCTGACGGCTGGCAGATTGCGGCGGAGGGCAGCATAGCTCTAGGCTTCTACCGCAACATCTGGAAGACGATTCTTGGTGCCATCCTGGCGGACCCCTCTATGGATGCCCGGACCGTCGTGCGGTTGGCGGAGTCGCTTTGCCATGAGCATCTCGACAGCTACTTCTCGACCCACGGCCTGCCCTTCCCCTACAACTACCCCGCTGCTGAAAACGACACATTGTCGACGGGATGGGTGTGTTGGGGGGGCACGTACCTGGCACGCATTGACAAGCGCCCTCTGTGGACGAGGGGCCATCTGGTAGACCTTTACGAAGCAGACAAGAAAGAGTTCCTGGCGAGTGGCGACTCCCTCCTGGCCGAGGTGAGACTGGTCGAAGGCAGGGGCCATGCGTGGACGGCCCCGGCCGTCTACAAGAAGGACCGTGGTCTGCAAAGCGCCCTCCTGTAAGTGAGCGACAATCAAGGACACGCGCACTCCACTGACAGTGACTTGTATTTATTACATGGATGTGTGTGTTTGCGATTCCAGGAGGCTGGTGTCACTGCATGTGGCGGCCAAGCTGTGCGACGTCTTCGCGTGCCAACGTGTCTTCGTGCAGAGGATTCTGCTGCGGCATGTGGTGGCTGCCCTTCACTCTGCGGGGATGGGTAGCATTCGGCGTGTCATCAAGCGCCAAGAAAGGCGCTATCTGCAGACCAAACGGAGGGCAAGGAAGCAGCGAGAGGAGGGGCTGGGTAGATCTGTGCCAGCAGAAGAGACAGTAGACACGTAGAGAGACTCGGACAGATCTGCAATGTCTGCAAGCTCAGGCGAGATGATGACCATCTGTTCGTCCCTCACTCGGGACCACACACGCCTCGTCGTAAACCATGATCCGCCGCATTGAGCGGAGGGATTCCCGCCGCACCACCACCGGTGCATCCTCCCCCACTGCATCCCTCGGCACCCAACTAACGCAAACCCTCCGCATCACAAAGACCACTCCCGCCCTCCTCACGGGGATCTATTCCGGCAGTGCGAAATGGAACATCAAGGCAGCCACATCCATGGACAAGGCTGGCCGCGCCCTCGAGGCTGCCCTAGTACCCAGCCTTGTCAAGGGCGCCTCGAGGCAGTTTCCTCCCAAGGGCAGCTCTCGACTGGTGTCGCGCGAGGGGACACGTGTGAGTTTCAGCGAGGGGCTGCTTGCACTGCAGGACCAGATGCACCACGCGAGGATGCAGCTACAGTTATTCGATGGCGTCATGGTGAGACACCCCGAGTCCCAAGAGACAGTTACGCCAGTGCCGGCCAAGGTGCAGAGGGCCGAGACGAGGAGAGCGTCGACATCGGTGCCGTGGGGCTATGGGTCTGAGGATGACCTGCCCATGCCCGTTCTCGAGGGAGGGACCAAGAAACTGCAGAAGGTGCTGGGCACCAAAATCCTCAAGACGAAAGACAGGTGACGACGCCAGCCATGCAGTGCAAGGAGCGTCTCTCTCTGTTGATCTGCATCATGCAGGGTGGCCAACGATGAAGAGAGGCTGCCGGAGCTCCGCATGGTGTCCTACGCAAGCTGCCCGATAATCGACTGCAAACAACTGGCGTTCAAGGCCAAGTCTCGCGACTACTACCTGCCTCACCAGCTCCCAAAGGACATCCCCCTCCACGCCCGCCCTCCCAAACCGACCCCCTCCCAGTCGAGAGCATCACACCGCCCAGACATCACCTGTATGCAGCCCAAGGCACGAGCACAGCGGATCCGCATGCAGCAGGACATCCTTTTCCAGCGTCTGTGGGATGCCAGGCTGCGCAAGAGGGCGCAGAGGAGACAGGAGCGGCTCTATCGGCTGGCTCAGTTCTGGAGGAGACATCAGGAGGTGGTGGGTGGGGACAGGGGAATCGGCCTGAGGGCACTGTATGGGCAAGAGATAAGGCATCTCGAGGCGACAGGAGACCATTTGCTGCCTATGAACGTGTTGAGAGAGCGTCTGTTGGGGCCGGGCAGGGCGCGGCGGAGTGTCAGTGGGGAGGATTTGGGCCCTCAGTTATTCCATGAGCCCGACAAAGACTTCCTTGTCGCTTCTGTGCATGGGATCTTCCTGGAAGAAATTATGAGGTACACACAGCAAATCAGTCAGCTCGATTTGTCGGTCATGCTGGCTGCAGGCGCCACACGGCCTTTCTGAGGAGGTTTTCGGGTCTCTTATCTCTTGCTGTGAGGAGCTGGCGCAGAGGGAGCGACACTCGGGTGGCTCGAAAGTTCGAGTGCTCTTGGTTGACGTGGATGGTTGCCATTCTTGCCATGCAGGTGAGGCCTGTGCAAGCAGAGACACGGTGTCGCTTCGGTGTCTGTCTGTCTGTCTGTGGTGCGTGCAGACTTTGGAGGGCACGTACCAGCGGCGCTTTAGGGAATCGTGTGTGGGGGCGGTTTTGTTTGTGTTATCCCTGCGAAGGGACAGGCTGTGGCACGCATTCTATCACGGCAGCAAGCGAATGCATCGCACGTACGCGATGCGAGTCACAAACCCATTTGGCTGGCCTCTGCCAGCGGCCTGAATATCACCTTCCTCTCCCTGTTTTTGCAAGCGTGGCTTTGCTTCAACGGGAGCTCCGCTTCTGCAGTGTGATGCGGGCATGCCGCATCGATCAGATGAGACACACATGGTGAGTGAGGCGGGCCAGCTTGGGAAGGAGACACGTCACCACAGCACACACGAGAGGATGGGTGTCTTCGGTTTGTTCAGGATGCGTGTGGAGGCGGCCATGGTGGACTATGAGCGGAAAAGGGCTTGGGTGAGACACTCGCCTAGAGACAGGGCCTGCATGCACTGGCTGACCGTCTAGTGACGAGAAGATGCATTCGTTGTGTGTCAGGCCGCCATCCGCAAAAAGGAGAAGGAAAGAGAGGACCGCCAGCGGGCCCCGACACTTGACCACCACGAGCCACACGGAGGAGAGGGCAACGGGAAGGGCGGCCCCGCCAGAATCCACACCATACACGCAGGAACCGAGCACGAGAAGATGCACGCCTCTGTCGCCATGAAGATCGACGCCCTGCATGCGCCTCTTCCGCCGAAAGCCCGGGAGAGCGCGCTGCAGGTGACCGGACAGAGGCTTGATGCTGCTGTAGTATTCGGTGCTGTTGTGTTGTGTGTCTGTGCTGCAGGCGGCCTACATAAGAAGGAAAAGGGAGTACATGGGACAGATGCGAGAGCACAACTCGGAAATGCAGAGGTGGGCCATACCAGTAAGGGAGGGATGGAGACACATTTGTTGATCCACCTACTTGTCCACGAACGGGTGCAGGTACCGGGAGATTGCCGACGCCTTTGTGGCTGCCACACCCACCGTGAGAGATCGGCGCGAGAGCGACGAGCTGCGCGAGAAGACATTCAAATCCCTCAGCATCGAAAGACCAAAGCCCCCAACCAAGTCAGTGATACCTCGTCAAGAAAGAGGTCATCACTGTCTGTGTGCAGGTGGTGGCGTGTGAGTGACCAGGACATGGTAAAGCTGACAGAGGACGCGAGGGATAAGTGTGGGATGCAGCCAGAGAGGCCGCTTACTGCAAATGAGCGGGCCGATCGACTACAGCACGTCACCGGCTGGAAAGCACACCACCACCACCAGCACCACCATCATGGCGACAAGGGCCATCACGTGACGCGGCGGAGGTCGTCCCGCCTCGGAAGTCACAACAAACCTGCCGCGGCGACATGACTGCCCCGGTGCAAAGTGTGTGAGCATGTCTGTGTGTGTGTGTTGATGGACGCACAGAGCGCTCGTGTGTGGGGGATGCGAAATGCGGGGGCAGCAACGACTGCAGCATATTACCGTCAAATGCGTGCAATCAGTCTCATCAACAGTCGCCACAACTTGAGCACACTCACACCCACACACATTATACATCAGCCCCCACTGTTTTCTGTCGGTGCGCCCGTCTTGCTCAGATGGCTAATGATATCAACCCAGTTCCATCCCCGCCTCCTCGCGTTGATCTCCCCGCCCACAGCATGCTTCCACATCGTCCGCTTCTGGTTCTTGGTCAGGTGCCTCATGTCAGGCACCTCAGCACCGTCCCTGCCATCACCGCCAGCAGCTCTCGAGCCATCCACATGCCCATTCTCCTCTGGCCCATCGGCCGCCGCTGCGTTGCCTGCCGCCTCCCGACTCTCCCATAGGCTCCTCTCCTCCCATATCTCGCGAAGAGAGAGCTGCTCGAAGCCCTCGTCCTTCAGGTCAGAGATGAGAGCGAACGTCATCTGCTCGCCAACCATGTCAGCCGCCTTTGCAGTGAGGAAGTCGAGGATCTTTTGGCGTGTTGGCTGGTCGAGCCGGCTGTTGGCGGGGCTGGTGGGCAGGTCGAAAGATGGCGGCTCAGCTGCGGGATAACCCTCAGGCCACGTCACAGAAAGCAAGAAGAAGTGACTCTGAGAAACAAACGCACAAACGCAGCCAAACGAACGAAGATGCAAGTCAGTTTTTTGTCGCGCTTCTCTCGGCTCGGCTACTGACCGGTTCGTCAGGGTCTGGAATGCGAAACTGCAGGTGTACAGGCGGCGTGCGGCTGACGACAGTGAACTCATTCTCGAAGCACCCGAAGATGGAGTCCAGTGTGTCCAACTCCATGGCCTGCTCCTCACACACGTCACCACTGCTCATAACTCACCAGATCTCAGCGTGCGGATCTCGATTGAGCTCGCAAGAAAGTTTTTTCGCGTTCGCGAGGTGAGTGGCGCGTGTGTGAAGAGAGAAGAGCTTCTGTTGACTTGCATCGCCAAGATCTGCTGTCTGTGTCTTTGCAGCTGCTGTCCGGTCCGTTTCTGAGTGCTGCTGAGCTGCTCGTGGTGGCAGCCGGCTTCGGCCATCGTATTTGGCATCGAGCGGGTGAGAGCGGACACACTTGCATGACGCCTGTCATCCTTGCAGATGTGCACGTCTGTGTGCCCTGTGTGTGCATGTCAGATTGTGCTTTTGTTCGCCGGCCGCCACAGCACGCCCGGCGTCAGTCAGGTGAGGGCTGCGAATGCGTCTATCGCACCATCCACTGCCATGTCTGTTGGCTGCTTGTTGCAATGCAGTTGATGCTTCACGTGACTATGGAGCCCTACACGCTGCCCAAGCATTACACCATCCCTGACGACAGCTGTGCTTTTTGCCTCGAGCCGCTTGCCGCCCACATGGAGGTGCAGGGGTGAGGGGAATGCGACGTGCATGCTCTCGAGGACATGATTCGGCACAGTGTCGCCCACCCACAGGAACACACTGTTTGACAGCCGAATGCCCAGGAAGGCCACGGGACGGTCGAGGATCTTCTTGGAACGCCGATAGATGCCGAATCCGACGGATGGCGGCGACGAATCGGATGATGAGCTGGCAGCTGCGGCGCTTGTCGATGAGTCCATATCGTGCACCGCAGAGCCTGACTCAAAGATCTGATCGTTGTGATGATCTGCGGGACTTGCAGGGCGCGATGGGGATCCCTTCCGTCTCACGCGCTGACCGCAAGCTGAGCTCGCAGAGGGACTCCGAGGGAGAAGGAGGAAGGAGAACGGGTCGCGTTACGGGCGCCTAGAGCCCGGCTCCGTCATTGCTGATCACTGGAGGACTCACAATGAACAGACCTGTTGAGGGCTGGTGCGGCCCGAATGGGCTGGTAAGATGGCATGGCTGCAGGACCATCACGCTCCACCAAAAGCACAACGATGGCGTGTTTGTGTCTTTTCTGGTCAGATCTCCCATGGATATGTAACCGACTGCTTTATCGAAAGGTCAGCCGCATGACTGACTGACTGATGGCAGGCAAGGCCTGCAGTGCTATAGGGAGAGGCAGTCAGTCAGGCGGGCAAGGACTGAGTGAGTGTATCTCCGTCCGCTGTGTGTCGGTGTCGGTGTCGGTGTCGGTGCAGCTGCATCGCGTTGTGGTATTTGTTGAGTCTGATACTGTTTGTGGTTCGGTGGTTCGAGCTGCACACATCAGCCATCTCCAGCCCGCCAGACAGGTAGGTACCCGAGGCAGTCGGTCAGCCAGCTGCCTGAGCTGCCTGTGCGCGCGTGGATCAAGTTGGTGGATGGCTGCAACGGCAGGTCGCCGGTCCACGTGGCCAAGAAGACCTTCCGCGGGCTCATGTGCGGTCTCTCTGCGGTATGTGCGGTGCGATGTGGCCGGCCGGCCGGCCGGCACGTGACGTGCAAACCCCTTGACATACATACGGTATATGTGCTGCCCTGCCTTTGTGTGTTTTGTGTGTATAGGTGTTGGCCCTGCTGTCGTGGTTCAAGCCGGCCTCCCCCCCGTACATCCTCGTCCTATGGGTGGGTGGGGCAGACAGACAGACAGACAGACACGAATGCAAGCGATGCGTGTGTCTGTTCTGTCCACTTGTCTCTATCTCTGTCTGTGTGCCTCCCTTGCTGTGGTGTGTCAGGGTTTTTCCTTGGTGCTCTGCACAATGGAGTATCAGCGGTTCCTGCCGCAGTCGTGGCTGGGGCTGCGCGGATTCTGGCTGGTGGGCGGGGTGGAGGGCATCTGGCGGGCGGGCATCTTCGTCCTGGCCTTCACCGTCGGCCTCATGCCGCCCGGCTGGGCCATCCCGCGGGCATCCGACCCCTTCCTGGAGCTGCCCGTCAGGTCGTCCCTCTTTCTGTGGACGGCCTGCATCCTCCTCCTCACATCCATCTGTGAGGTACGTGGGCGGCTGGGTACAGAACCGACGTAATCTGTCTGTCTGTCTGTCTGTCTGTCCGCCTGCCTCTCTGCAGATAGTGCTGGCGTGTCTGTCCTTCTATCAGCCTGCCGACATCCCGTTGGCCCTGCTGCCCCTCATCACACGACTCAACCGCGGCGAACCCACCGTCCTGCTGCCAAGAGTGCCCGACCTGCTTGACCGAGTCACCGTCGACCAGCCAGGGGCAGTGCGATACGGCGGTGCTGACCAGACATCGTTGCCGCCGCAAGCTGTGGATGTCTTTGCTAAGGGGGATGCTGAGGGTGTTTCTGGTGGTGGTGGTGGTGGTGGCAGTGGCGGCGAGAGGTTGCCGCTGAAGCTGCATGTGGCGCTGTCGAATGTGGTGCTGCAGACGGACCCGGTGCAGCATCGAATACATGCCGAGTGAGTGAATGGTGGGAGGGGGATGAAACGGGGCAGTGGCGTCTGTGTGTTTGGTTGGTGGATGGTGCAGATACAAGATGCTGCTTCGTCTGGAGGGCGAGCAGCGGCCGAGAGTGTCCTTCAAACGGTCAGCCAAGCACACACAAACAACACACACATGGATATATGGAGATGGAGCAGAGCTGATTGTTGCGTCTGTCTTTGTCCGTTTGTGTGTATGTTGTGTAGGTACGCTGACTTTGCGGCGTTGAACAGCGTGTTCCAGTCCCAGTTCAACCGCGACCGCTACCTGCCGCCAAAGGAATCTTTCAGACAGGTAGGTACACGTACCCACACGCCTTCCGCATTCCGTTGGGTTTGATCTGATCTGATCATATGTGCGTGTGCGTCCCTGTCTGTGCAGGAAACACTGAGCCCGGCATTTCTCGACCAGCGGCGACGAGGGCTCGAGGCGTACATTCGGGTGCGGGAGAGAAACCAGCTACATGTGCACCATTGTCTGTGAATGGGTTCGGTGTTTCTTAATGTGTTTTTTCAGGTGATAGTGCAGCAGGAGGCCTGCTCAAGTGCTGGGGCTGCTCAACTTCCTGGGGCTCAGTGTCATCGAGCAGCGGCCATTCACCGAAGCGCACAAGGAGGCCATCAAACGGTCAGCAAGCCACTCAGCCAGCACCATACCAACACACACACACACACACACGCACGTACGTGCTGCAGGTTTGAGCCCGACAACCCCCTTCGGCTGCGGAAGCCCTCTGACGAGACCTACTCAGAGGCTGCGTCAATCGACGTGGCCCAGGACGACATCCCATCGCCGCTCGAGAGAGAGAGGGAGGGCAGGCCCCGCCACACAGCAACAGCAGCAGCGGCAGCCTCGGCGGCTGCAGCAGCGGCCGAGGAGCAGATGCTGATGCAGCCCGACCAACAAATCGTGTTGACGTCCTCTGCGCAGCTGTCGTCGTCTGCGTACTCCCACGCACACGAGGGAGAGAAGGGCGGCGTGGGTGTGGGTGTGGGAGTGGGTGTGGGTTACAGTGTGGAGGGGCCTGGCGGGTCGATTCCTGTGCGTGTGAGCATCGACCGCTACGAGCTGGTGCAGGAGGGGACACCTGGCGTGGTGCCGTATGTCATCTACGAGGTGGTCACCAGCACCATGCACCGGACATCCACCGTCGTCAAGAGATACCGGTGAGGTGCGAATGGGTGTATGCGTAGCTAAGAGTAGAGGAAACACACGAGGGGGCGGTGTCGTGAGATGGTCTCTCTCTCTTTCTTTGTGTGTGTGGGTGTGGGGTGTGCAGTGAGTTCGACATCTTGTTCAAGAAGCTGCATCGCATTTTGGAGGTGTCGCCGCCCAAGCTGCCCGGCAAGTTCTACACCATGAAGCGCGACCACTGGTTCTACGAGAAACGAAAAGCTGACCTTACCGACTGGCTCAACCAGGTCAGACACCCCCTCCGCTCCCCCTCGCCCCCTCCCTCTCGACACACATGGACGGACGCCCTTCTGTCTGTCTGTGTATGTATGTGTGTTGGTGCATGTCTGCAGGTGGTGCAGGACCCCGCGTGTGCGTCGTGTCCCGACTTGTGGGAGTTCCTGCAGATCCCCATGAATGAGGTCCCACGGCCAACGGCCTCCTCACCGAGCGGCGACACACACGCATGGGCGCGGAAGGCCTCGTCGGGCAGCGAATCGATCTCTCTGCCAAGGTGGGTGGGTTGGTGGGCCTGTGGGATGGAGGGAAGGAGGCAACGCACACAAGACACATAGGCACACAATGGGGGCTGGTGTCTGTGTGTGTGTGTACGGGGTTTGGTGTCAGTATGGCGATGGAGTCGGAGGGCGCCGCTGAAATGTCCCGTCGGGTGCAGCAGCCGGGCACTGCCGATGTGTCCTCAGGTGAGTGCACCTCTCTGTGTGTGTGTGGCTGTCTGGGCGAGCATCAGCGAGGTCGTGTGCGTGTCCGTGTGATGTCTGTGTGATATACTAGAGCGCACGACCACCGCGCGTCCTTCGTTCCTCACAGCTGAGCCCAAGAGCGCGCCATCGCCCCCGCTGCTCTCACGGCCACCTGGCAGCTCTACGGAGCCAGTGCAGGAGTGGCATGTAAGGCCTTATGTGATATATAAAGGGATGGGATGCATGGGCACACGCCGACAGTGGTCATGTTGGCTGTGTGTGATGGATGGTGTGTAGGTGCGTTGCCGGATGTGGCAGACGGTGACGGTGCATCAGGAGAAGGACACTGCCTACGCCCTGCAGCTGTACCGGTGCAAGCCCACCGGCGTCAAGACATGGGCCATCGAGCGACCCTACAGACGATTCGAGGTCGGTCGGTTCGCCCGTCTGTTTGTCTGTCTGTGTGTCCGCCTCTATCCATTGTGTCTATGGTGTGTGTGGTGTGTATGTCAGGAGTTGCACTGTGAGCTGGCCAAGAAGTTCTCTTCCCACAGAGAGGCTTCACCCTTCTCGCCACACGAGCAGCACGTAAGCCAAGCCAACCACTCCTTCCCTCTCCCACACACACACACACACCCTCTTTGCCCATCCCATGTGCACAGAGGACCGAGAGAAGGAGGAGCGGGGTTGTCGTCTGGAGGCGTACCTGACGGCCATCCTGCAGTCATACGAGACGTTCAAGTGTCCCGCACTGGACCTTTTCCTGGCGGAGCCCATGCAGCACGCCACCGTGGCCGAGGGGAACGAGCAGCAGGAGGCCGGGGCCGGGGTGAGCAGCTTCGCCATGACGGAGGAGCACCAGCAGCAGACAGTGGAGGGGGAGGGGCGGGGGTGAGGGGCGGGGGTGATGCGAGCCGTAGACAGAGAGGTAGGTAGACAGAGAGTGTGGTAGGAAGGCTCTAGTTGGTGGACGGGATGGGATATATGGGCTTTGTGGTGAGGGAGGTGAGGTGGATGTCTGTCTGTCTGTCTGTTTTGCGTGTGTGTGTCTATGCTATGGGCCGAGGTTGTGTGTACCGTGGCGTGCCGTTGGTTGGTGTGTGTATCTGTGGACACGAAGAACAAACGGAAGGAAAGCAGCTTCACCGTCAAGAAGGCATACCACATACGTTTACACAAAAAGGGTTCGTCAGTGAGTGACAACATGGACACATCAATCAATCAGTGCATGGCATGCACGTCTGTCGGTCTGTCTGCTGCAAACCGCATGGGTTCTGTCGGCACCATGTCATGAGAGGCAGACAGCTGAGCTGGCTGTGTGCATTACATACGCTACGCCTGGCCTCCTGTCCATCCTCCATCCATCCGTCTACCACCCACCCCACTGACCAGTGTCGCAGTCGATCAACCTGCATGCAGCCTAGCTGTCCTCCAGCCTCCTTCTCTTGGCCTCCCTCTCCACACCCTCACCTGACACATGGAGGCAAACATCACAGCCATGACGCACACAACGAGTGCATGTGTGTCGCTCTGATCTGGCTCCTCCCCTGCCCCCATCTCACCCTCTTCATCCTCCTGCTCCTGCTGCTCGCCATCGCCATTGCCATCGCCGTCGATGTCGCCATCCACATCTGCACACTCAAGACACGCAAAAATACAAGTGGGCCCAACCACACACACACACACATGTATTCCACTCACCCTCATCGCTGTCGCCGTCATCCGCACTGTCATTGTCATCCTCTGCACACACACACACATACATAAGAGTAAGACACCTAGCAAGGCGGGCTGGGCACCGCACACACACACAGACCACTTACCCTCACCACCATCGCCATCGTCGTCATCCGCACCCTCCTCTGCACACCACCACACACAGACCGATTCATCCGACCGACACACCGAGGTGGAGGCGGCCGCCTGCACACTCACCCTCATCATCCACTTTCTCTTGCTGGTTGACCACCATATCTGCGATGGTGCTGCCCAGCGGGCCGCCCACCAGAGGGGCGGTGGCGGGCCGGCGGTCCTTGAAGGCAGCCGATGGATCACCTACTGGCGGCTCGTTGGTGACGGCAAGAACACCCACTGCATACAGCGACACAACGCACGCCAAAGGACGGCTCGCTCAGCAGATATCTGCTATCTTGTCCCCTCACCCATGGTCGTGGCGGGTGGGCTGAAGGGACACAGAATTGTACATGCGACAAATGGGCTGTCGAGCGGCGTCAGCAGCAGCTGCCGAAGCTCTACAGGGGGATCATCATCGTCCCACCTGACCGCCACGACGGCGGTGCATCCGTTGGGGGGCTGGTGGGGCGACTGGCTGAGGAGGCCGCCCAGCACACCGCCGTAATCATGCCTGAGGAGACCAACACATAACAGAGGGAAGAGGCCGACAAGGATGAATGTGTGTCTGCCTGAGTGTGGGGTGTCCTGCGTACCGGTTTACGAGGACCATAGCCGTTCTGCCCTCATTGGCCGCTGGAGGGGCCAGGATGATCCTCATGATGAAGGATGACGCCGAAGCCTGAGTGAGCGCCGCACCATCGGCCGCCCAGTGCCGATGGATTGTGGATCTGACGGGCGGGTTGTCGTCGATGATGTGTGTGTGGTATGGGTGGGCGGCGGGGAGGGGCGGGTTGATGTCCAGCTCGAAGCCCGGCTCGTCCTTGATGGCACGCACACCGCCGCCCGGCTGGTCGAACAGCTCAAAACGGCCGTAGTGGCCGCCACAGTTGACGTGTCTGCCGACCATCTTCCACAGCGCAATCACACGAACATCCGCCAAATACGCCTACACAGACACCACACGACACACACACATACAGACAGACCGATGAGTGCCACCCGACCCGCCCCACGCTCATCTGCCCACCTGTTTGCTATCGTGCCGCTGCATGTCGGCCACAGCGAGTGTGATGGGCAACTGACAGTAGCCCCGCTGCCTCGCCACCTTCAGCGCATCGGCCACCTCGGTCCACTGCTGTGTGTCCACCAGCCAGATGGCCTTCAACAGCAGAGGGCGGTCCAGCTGAGCGGCGAATGCGATGATGCCGTCGAGCTGTTTGGCCACCAGGCAGCGATTGAGTCGGTTGCTCAGGACGGCAGCCGAGAAGTCGACTTCCCAGAGGAAACGGGCCGTGGCTCTGAGGCTGCCGACCTCCGACCGGCTGCACACACACACACAGATGGCACATCACACCCAAACACACACAGCTGTCAACTGCCGCTCCTCCTCCTCAATTGACTCGTGTGTGGTTTGCATACGTGTGGAGGGCATCTCTGTCGTTCTTGTGGAGAAAATCCAGTGTGTGGTCGTCGATAACGGCACCATGGCGGTTCGCAGTGTGGTTGTTGCCCATCTTGCCCTCTACGCTCCTGCCGGACGGATCAGCTTCACACTCATGCCAATGAGCCCAATGATGCTATGGATGAAATTGGGGGATGGCCAGCTACCACTTCAAGCTCGCCTTTGTCGCTGAGACCGACGACCTGCATGCCGACCCGCTCAAGGGAGCCAAGCAGATGGTGGGCTTCTTTGCCATCACCAGCCACGTGTCGCGCAGGCGCCCCATCTTGCACTGGGAGCGGAGCGTCTTGCCCCGCATGGGATGGGCAATAAAGAAGTCCTCGAGGCGCTGCTGTGGGACGGGGAGGCCGAGCTCATCCGTGCGGTGCTGCGCAACAGAGACACCAAGATGGCCATACTGCTCGACCTCATCAAGCAGCTTGAGGGCGGGTAAGTGGCCGGGTGTGCAGATGGGTGTGTTGTGTCATGGGTGCGTCCTGTGGGTGGCAGTCCTCTCGTGTCGTCATTCGGTCAAGGCAAGAAGGCCTGGGTGTTCGGTCTGGTGAGTCGGCCGTCCTGCCGCCCACTACACCAGACAACAAGACGGACCCCACGGGGTGAGTGACAGACAGGTGGAGGGATGGCGCGAAGCTCAACATCAATCTGTGTGAGTTCAGGTATCGAGTGGTTCTGTGCGTCGGGGGCATCATCGTGTCCGTCAAAGCGGCGATTACAGCATGTACCATGTAAAGCAAGGAGTTCGGCGAGTACCTCGGTCTCGCCAATGTTCGCGCGGAGAATTGGACTGACTGAGTCAGGTGAGTCAGGTCTTTGTATCCATGGTGTGGTGTGGTGGGTGTGCGGGTTTATATTTCCATTTCTGTCTGCGCGAATGTACACACACACCCATTCAACGCAGAGAGGGCACGCAAGATTTGGTCTGCATGCGTGCTGATTGCAAACCTTTTTTGATGATGACAGGTCAGACCGTGATCGACCTCTGCACATTGACAGATTGGCGGGTGCAGAGGCCTGCGTCAGTCAGTCAGTCAGCCAGCCCTGGAGGGTGGGTGCGTGAGGGCATGGCTTACATGCACGTGGACCGGACCGCTCGGTGCGTGGTGAGTCAGGTAGGTATGTGAGGTGGTGCGAGAAAGAACACTGGACTGACTGACAGGCATTGGTCGACTCGGGTGCATTCTTAGGAATTCGTTACAGTACTGGTGTCGTCCATCCATCCATCCCATCAGATGACACACACCACGAGTGCGCACAGCCCTATCCACTGCTACTGACTCCCCTGCGCCGCGCCCCACCTCCCCCCGCAACCTCACCTACTCTACGCAGTGACTCATTTAGTGCACACGTGTGTGTGTGTTGTGTGTTGTGTGTCTGAGGGCGGCTATGCGTCAGGGATGAGTTTGATGAAGGATGTGCACTCATTGCGACACACGGGGCACTTCATCATGTGAATGCCTGCACGCACAAACACAGCGCTCGTGTGTTGTGTGTCTGTCGGCCGTTGTGAATACATAATGTGCCCACCCACCAGCTTTCTCCATCCGCAGGGCACAGTTGCCACAGACGAGCACGTGGCCGCACGGCACACACACATGTGTCCTGCTCTCCTCCTGACTGCACACACACACACACACACACACAAACCAAGGCAACAGCCATCAGCCATCAGCCTGTGTCTCTCTCCCTCCCTCCCTCCCTCTGACGTACTTACCACACGACACACGAGCCCTTGAGAGCTGCGACCTCGGCCTTCATCGCCGCGGCCTCCTGCTCAAAGGCCTTCTTCTCGCGCACGAGGCGGCCCAGCACGTTGCCCGTCGCCAAAACCAGCTGGGCCGCCATCTGGTCAGACGTCATGGTGGACGCCACCGTGTCGGGCGCATCCAGCAGACGGCTGGCAGGGAGGGAGGGAGGGAGAGAGGAAAATAGGACACACGCGTGTGTCTCCTGTCTGTCTGTCTGTCTGGTGGATGGTGTGTTACTTGGTGGTGCCTGGCGAGGGAGCTCCCGCCTCGTTGGCTGCCGGCTGGGTCTGTGCAGCTGCTGTGGGCTGTCCAGTGGTGTTGGTGTCGCTGTCGGTCTTGCGCACCTCCGTCGCTGCTGCGGCCCGCTCCTGAGATCGTGTGTTGGCGAGTTCCTCCAGCAGGCTGAGGACCTTCTCCAGACGGCCTTCCCGGGAATCCTCACCCATCACCAGACGGCGACACTCATCCACATTATCTGAAGTGATGGTTAGGAAGAGAGCAAAGAGCGCCTCAGTGTGTGGGCACCTGTACCTAAATGTCTCTGTCTGTGGTGGGCCGTGTGTGCGTAGCGTACCAGGGTCGAGGAGTGCATTGACGTGCATGAGCCGCTGCTGTATCTCGAGAAACATGTGGTTGGCAGACCCCTCCCCGCCTCCGAGTCCTCCTGCACTATTATACCCACCCGCCCCGCCACTGGCCCCCTCCCCCCCGCCCCGGCCGCCCTCGCGCCGACTCATGCCGCCTCCCCGGCCACCATGATCTCTATCTCGTCCCCTGCCACCTCCCCCGCCCCTGCTGCCGCTGCTGTTGTTCCCTTGCGGCGGTGGCAATATGGTCACTGGAGTCGATCCATAGCCGTTGAGTGTGTACGGCAGCGGGGGGCTGCTGTTAGTGGTGCTGCTGTGATGCTCGCGGTCGCGGTCGCGATCTCTGTTTTTGCCGTGGTGGTGGATGGCGCCCCGCTTGGCCCCGCCCCCCGTGTCGCGCCGATCCTTGTGTCCGCGGGGCTGCTGCTCTTCCATGAGCCGGCTCTGTGCGAAGATCGCATCGAGGCCGCTTGAGAATGTCTGGCCGCTCGGGCTGCCGCCCATGTTTTTGCGATCGCGGGATGGGGGCGGGCTGGCGGAGAGAGCGTCGGGTGAGAGCCGGCGAGAGGAGACGGGCTCGTACAGCGGATTGGACGGGCGGTTCGGCGCACGCCTTTGGCTCTCACTGCAACACACACATACAAACAAAAGGAGAGATGTCACGGGGAGGTGTGTTTGGCGAGTTTGGTGTCTTCTCACTTGGCCTCTTGGGCCTTGACGAGGATGTTCCATGGGCTGTTGTCCTCCTCCCTCTCGCGAACTTCCCCCCTCTCTCCCCCTTCCCCCTCGCTAATGCCACGCTGCACCCCTCCGGCACTGCCATAGTCGCCCGTCTGCTGCTGCACACGGCTACCACTGCTGCTGCTGCTGCTGGGCTCCTGTCCCTCCTCACCATTGCCGTCACAGGCCGCAAGGATGTCCATGATGCACTCGTGAGCTACGCGGGCGGCCGTCTTGTCTTTCTGCGGCGAGCCGGTGGGCGTCGACTCGTCGGACGGGACCGGCCGCTCGGCCGCCGCGGGCCAGCAAACGTTCCTCTCAGCCACGTGAACAGAAGAAGCCTGATGGCAACGAACACAGAGCGTGGTCTCTGTTGCTCTCGCTCGGTCCTTTCTCCTGCTCTGCTCATCCCGACCTTCCTTACCTGTTTGGCCCGTCCATGTTTTGGAGTCTCCTCAACCTTGTCTGTCAGCACCACAGCACGCTCGTCAGCTACAGCTACACCCACGATCTCCATCTTTCCCTTCTCCCCCTGGCCGCCATGCCCCTCGTCCCCTCCCTGACGGGCAGCAGCCCCCTTGGAAGATGACACCGACCGCCCCTGCCGCAGCAGCGCAAACACAGACGCCGCGCGCCTGCCCTCCCCGCCCCACTCGTCCTCCTCCACCTCTCCCTCTCCCTCGTTGTGCGGCTCTGACGGCTGCTGGCTCGCTGTGGTGGTCTGCGACGACTGCATCGATGGGGAAGGCCGCTTCGTCGGGCCATTCTGGGGGCGCAGGTCGGCAGCCGCCCCGGTCTCCTTCTCAACAGGTGAGCCCCATACGGCGAGGCTGCGCCGCGGCGACACTGCCATGAGGGTCTTCGAATCCGATGATGGTGCAGATGCGCTGCTGCCCGATGCGTCTGGGCCGACAATGGCATCTGAGAATCCCGTTGGCTGCAGGGGCGGCAGCAGCGACTCCCGCGCACTCGTGGTCGACGCGCCTTCGTCTTTGAGGGGCGAGGGCGGCATCAGAGCGGTCAACAGAGCTTCGGACGGCGGGTGCTGTTGGCCGCGGACTTGAGCGTCTTCCTGCGTCGGGCGCGCATCTTCTGCAGGCTGCTGGGCCTGCTCCGGGCTGCCGAAACCGCCGAAACCGAAGAAGCTCATTCCCCTGACGTAAATCCGCGTTAGGGTGCCTTCCGTCCGTCCAACACGATCTTTGAGGTCGAAGGCAGGACGGCGGGTTCCTTTTCGCTGCATTGCATGCCCGGCATCCGGACGCAACGCTTGTGTCAAGACTGCATAAGAGGCCACAGATCTCTCTCTTGACTGCTCTGGCTGCCGCTGCTGGCTGCACATCTAGCACGCCCAGTCCTCTGTGCTGATCCGCCATGCTGTCGTCCCTGCGTCGCACATCGGTGCGCCCTCCGCGGTTCAGCAGGGGTTTTGCCGCCAAAGAGATCCTCTTCGGCACTCATGCGCGAGCCATGATGCTGGCGGGTGTGGAGAAGCTGTCGGACGCTGTGGGGGTGACGCTAGGGCCTAAGGGCAGAAATGTCGTCATCGAACAGGTCACATCCTGCACACCATGAAAGCCCCGAGGCGGAGACAATCACGGTCTGTGTGCTGTGCTGGGTGTCTGTGTGTGTGTGTGTGTGTGGTCAGTCGTTTGGTGCGCCGAAGATCACCAAGGACGGCGTGACGGTGGCCAAGGCCATCGAGTTTTCCAATCGCAGCATGAACCTCGGTGCTCAGCTTGTCAAGCAAGTCGCGAGCACCGCAAACGACGAGGCGGGCGATGGCACCACAACGGCAACCGTCCTCGCGAGAGCCATCTACAAGGTGAGTGACCAATCACACCAGCATCAGCACTGACAGACGATAGATCATGTGTGGCGCTCTCTCTCTCTGTGTGTGTGTGTGTGTGTGTGTGTCAGGAGGGCTGCAAGGCAGTTGCGGCGGGGATGAACCCGATGGACCTAAGGCGAGGCATCAACCAGGCTGTGGACAAGGTGCTCGAAGACCTCAAGAAGAGATCCAAGGACGTCACCACCTCAGAAGAGATCTACCAGGTCGGCCGGCAGTCACACAGACAGACATATGGGACGGAGTGGACCCACACACTCTCCTGGTGGTTGATGCACCTGCACATCCCTCTGGTGCAGGTGGCAACGATCTCCGCCAATGGCGACAAGATCGTCGGTCGGCTCATCGCTGACGCCATGGAGAAGGTACGTACGTGGCTATGTGTGCCGACAGCCACACAGATGGAATGGTTGACAGCCACACGCCCCTCCTTTGATTTGATATGTGCAGGTTGGTCGTGAGGGCACGATTACGGTGACGGAGGGCAAGACGCTCGAGCATGAGATGGAGGTGGTGGAGGGCCTCAAGTTCGACAGGGGATACGTGTCGCCCTACTTCGTCACCAACCCCAAGACACAAAAGGTAGGTACCCCCTCTCCCACCACACACCACTGGATGCGGCCGATGGTGCCAAAGAGACCATTGTGTGCTGCTCTGTGTGTGTGTGTGTGTGTGTGTATCTGTGTGCAGGTTGAGCTTGAGAACCCGCTGATCCTGCTGCACGACAAGAAGATCAGCAGCGTCAAGTCCATCCTGCCCATCCTCGAGCACTGCCTGCAGACACAGGCGTCACTACTCATCATCGCAGAAGACGTCGACAGGTCAGACAGACCCACACAGACACACAAAATGACAATTAGCACCCACTGTGTGCTGTGCTGCTTTCCTTTTGTCAGTGAGGCGCTTGCGACGATCATCGTCAACAAGTTGCGCCTTGGCCTGAAGATCTGTGCCGTCAAGGCACCTGGCTTCGGCGACCACCGCAAAGCGCAGCTGCACGACCTCGCAACCCTGACTGGAGGGCAAGTCGTCACTGAGGAAACAGGTGCGATGAGAAGAAGTGGCCACAAGCGGCCAGAATGCGGTCGACACGCAATGGGGCCCCTTCTGTGTGTGTGTGAACTGCACAGGGATGAAGCTCGATCAGCTGGACATCAGTGTGATGGGTCGCGCCAAGACCGTCACAATCACCAAGGACGACACCGTCATAATGGGCGGCCAGGGCAACAAGGTAGGCCACTGTGGAGAGACCGACACCACACCACACCACACCACACTCGACGAATGGGCAAGGCGACGTGCTCATATCTTCCCGGTGTTGGCTCTTCTGTGTGCAGGATGAGATGGACACGCGTTGCGATCAGATCCGCTCGGCCATGTCGGCCACCACAAGCGAGTACGAGAAAGAGAAGCTGCAGGAGCGGCTTGCCAAACTCTCAGGAGGCGTTGCTGTCATCAAGGTAACGCTTTGCTTTGCCACACGGCCTATACACACACAGCCCTATCGACGGCCATACGCCCTCTCTGTGTGTGTGTGTGTGTGTATGTGTTTTGTGCGCCTCTCCATCGGTCTGTCCGTCCTGACACTTACAGGTTGGTGGGGCGAGTGAGGTTGAGGTAGCTGAGGTGAAGGATCGCATCAACGACGCCCTCTGCGCCACCAAGGCGGCCGTCGAGGAGGGCATCGTGCCGGGAGGAGGTAAACACCTACGTTGCACCACCGACCGACCGACGAGGATTATCGTCACGTCTCCCTGTGTGATGTGTGTGTTCCTGACTGCAAATTGAAGGTATCGCACTGCTGTACGCGACCAAGTCGCTGGAGGGCCTGCAGACTGAGAATTTCGACCAGTCTGTGGGCGTGGACATCGTCAAGAACGCCATCAAGGTGCCCTGCAAACTCATCGCAGAAAATGCCGGCGAGGAGGGCGCCGTTGTCGTCGGCAACCTCCTCAGGTCAGCCAGGCCAGGAGATGAGTGACGAAGGAACAGACAGACATCGATGCAACCTCCCTCTCTTTTGACGGATTATGTTTGTCTGTGTCAATGTGTGTGTGTGCAGGGAGGGTGTTGAGAGCCGGGGTTACAACGCACAGACCGGTCAGTACACCGACATGGTGTCTGACGGCATCATCGACCCCACCAAGGTCGTCAGGACGGCACTCGCCGACGCCGCATCCGTCGCCTCACTCATGACCACCACCGAGGTCAGTGAGTGAAGTGTTAACAAGCGAAATGCGGCACCAGCGGAATGCTATCCATGCCATGCCATGTGTGTGTATTGCATTCTGTGTGTGCAGACGCTGATCACTGACGCCAAGGAGGACAAGGACAGCAAGGGTGGTATGGGCGGCGGGATGGGAGGCGGCATGGGCGGCATGGGCGGGATGGGCATGGACGACTACTAGCCGCTCTTGCCTGGTTTGTTCTGTTGGACAGAGTGTGTGTGTAGCTTGTCGGAGTTTTTGCTGCCACCCTCCACCCATCTCGTTTGCCTTTCATTCATCTCCTAGCACTCGCCTCGCTGTCTCCCTCCCTCCCTTGCTCGGTGCATGTGTGTGTGCGTGAGTATGTGACCATGTGAGTGTGTGAGAGTGTGTGTGTGTCCCATCGCCTACCGACCATTTGTCCACTTCCTGCCTGCATGACTTGACGTGTGCTGCAGTGCTGTGTCGACCGTGCCACTTGACCTGCCTACAGCCGTGACGTTGGGTGCGTGCGTGTCCAGCCAGGTGTCCCGAGCCTCCATCTGTCTATGCCCCTCTCCTCGCTGCCCACCAGTCTCCTGGCCTGCCGTGTGTCGACTGTTCTTCCCCTCATGGACATCGACCACATGTTCTTAGGGCGAAGTACAGGCGACACACACAGGGCAAGCCAGTACTTCTGGCGTGCGCGCGTTGATGATGGTGCCTCAAGAGTGGCTTCCATGTTGCCCCTCCTGAGATGTGCGACTGGATGAGTGCCTTTTCTGAACCTTGTGTCGGCATAAGTCACTTTTACCTGTGGGTGCAGGAGGAGTGAGTGAGTGCGTGTGTGTGTGTGCTGGTGGCCACGCCAATGGACCTTCATTCGACGCTTGGTTGGCCGATTTAAGACTGCTTTGCACACACACACACACACACACCGCACACTCAGTCCCCCCCCTCCCTCTCTCCGAGTGGACCGCTGTTGACATGGCCTGTGTGTGAGGGTGTCTGTCTGTCTGCCTCGCATGCTGCACACAACCGCATTCACAAATTTCGCAAACCCTACGCATAGCTAGGTTTTAGATGAGCACGTCAGCCGCCGCCCGCCCCCCCTGCAATGGGGAAAGAGCCCCGGAAGCGATCGCGATGAGTGCGAGCTTAGAGGTGGGAAAGGAAGGAGGAAACGCAAAGATCGCAGGAGAGAGGCTCATCGTGGGAATGTGATGTGGATCGAAGAGATGTTGACTCAGGTGTTCCGTCCGCCACCGCAGCTGGGACCAGACCAGGTGTACGAACGAGTGCTCAAGCTCAGCCCGGTGGACGAAGAGGAAAGGAAGTTCTGCGATACCGTCAACGGTGCGCACGCAGCTAGCCACACACAGACGGACTGACTGACTGACTGTATGCACGTGTGACGGACTTGACGGACTCTCTCCTCTGTGGACTGCAGCCACCATGCCCATATGGCGTTCGATGACGGTGAGCGACCCACAGCAGACCAGACCATCGAGGGCATCCGAACAGAGCACATGGATGGATGGATGTGTTGTGTGTATGTCTGTGTGTTGTCTGTCGTGCGTGCAGGAGGAAGAGAAGGAGGCCGCGCTGAACCAGTGTACGGAACTCCCAGGTATGTATCCACCCCAGTACTGAATGGCTGCATTGCATCCCTCGTGTGATCACATGTGCCTGTCTGCCTGCGTGTGTGCATCAGAATATGCCAGTGAGTGAGCGGAGGAGGCAGCCACGCAGCAGCATTCACCTCTCACACAACACTGTCAACATAGATCACTCATTGGCCGCTTTCTGACTGCCCGGCCGGGTATGCCTGTCTGCCGCAGCTCTCAGCGACGCGCAGAAAGAGGCATTGGGGGACCTGACGTGTGTGTACAACCACTGCGCGGCCATCGAGCTCTTTGAGAGGAAGGCTGCAGCTGCTGCACGACTACCACACAACAGGCTGAAACGGTGAGTGTGTGTGGGGGTCCGGCCGGTGGGTGTCTGCTGCCTGCCTCAGTCAGTCAGTCAGTCAGTCGCCCACCGTGTGCGCCTGCCTGCGTGTGTGCGTGCAGGTACTTGAGTGACACCTTCAGGTCCCTTCTGTCGTGCACTTCTCCCTCAGCTGAAGCCCCCGCTGCCCCTGACGGACCCCTTGAGGAGGAGGAGGAGGAGGAGCTATCGCCCACCGACACACACGTGCACACGGAGCGGTCAGTCAGGTGTAGGAAGCAGCAGAGTCAACCTGACGACAGTAGTAGCAGGAGGCCTCTGCTGCCCGCCAGATAGAACAAGGCAAGATTTCCAGACTGACAGACGGACAGACAGACTTACAGGTCGGTCACACTAGTCGCAAGGCCAGTAGCTGTCCAGACAGGGGCTGGACTGGTTTTTGAGTCAGGGTGGGTGTTGGTGGCATGGGGGATGAGAGTGATGGAATGAATGGTGTATACTGACTGAGTCAGGTGGTTCGATTGTCGGACTCTGACCCAACAGACGTCTTGTGTCGCGCTGCTCTGTCCATCGCTTACTGATACGCATCGGTGCAGTCCCCCGGGCGCTCGTCTGTGCGATGGGCCAACACGTCCTCAACACACACACACACGCACGAAGCGAGGAAGGGATAGCTACCGAGAGCACTCAGAGTGGCAGCCAAGCACCAGGGGAGGGCACGATTGGTAGCCATCATACCTGCGTCTCCCTCACGTGATATATGTATATACATACACACCACACAGGTCAACCCGCTGGGTAAGTATGTCACAAATACAGACGCCCTCGACACTCAAAGCCGCGCAGAAAAAAAGAAAGTCAGCCAGTCAGTCTCTCAGAAGTGAAAAAGTGTTGCCATTTGGCTTATCAGCTGCTTAGTGTCAGGATTCCCAGCTTGGCAAGACGAACCACTGCGAGCTTGTGAGCTAGGGTAGATTGCTGTGTAACGGAGAGAGAGAGGAGAAGACAAGGAAAGACAAGGAAAGCATTCTGAGGAGACACGATCTTATCAGCCATCACCGAAGTGAGATCTGTGTTGACCACCCTTCATGATGCCATACATGGAG